GTAGACGTGGACTCTGGAATGTTCTTAGCCGTCTTTCCACTGGGAATCTGCCGCGAGTTTTTCCAGCTAGGCAAACAGCCGCCAGCATATCACTTCAGAAACCACGTTACACAAAAGGGGATTCTGGTAACCCTTGGTTGTTGATAGCGTCTAGCCGACAACTCCGGCCTTTCGGCCAGCATTTAGCTTGCCCCTGTGTTGTAGATGTGCATCCCTCACACAGGCTGATAAGTTTCGGGGAGGCCCGACGATAAACACATTGAGACGGTGACAGTTACATCCGGCTTCCTCATTGTGGTCGACCAGTCCTTACTCAGCAGGATTTGAACGGACCTGAATTCGTCTGAGAGGCTTCCAGTCCGAGGCGTCAACGAAAGCGAAGGTCTGTAACACACCCTGCAATCAGTGGATGAGTGCGTGCCAATTCAATGTGATTCGTTTTCTCAGCTTGTAGGCGGTAAGCATCAGTTACCCCATCCGCTTAATGGTTTAACTTGCGCACGTATGCGTAATTACCTGTCCATTAAAACAGGCGACGACTTTCAAGTACGTTAGTATCTCGAGGGACAATAAAGAGCAATGATCATCCATTAATTTCAACAAGGTTTTCGCCCAAAAAAGTGCGCGTAGTCAAACTAATCTTACCAGAAGTGACAGACACAAGTATGTCTTTTTCTGGGTCTCAAGACGTCCAGGATATTATTCTGGACAACTGCTGCAATAATGAGTGAAGAGCGTGTTAAGTTGATCGCGATTAAAATAAATCCCTTCACGGATGCTGAAATCCAGATCCAAGGTCAACTTACAGGCACATGGTTGCTTAATTTAGCCAATGTCATTTAGACGTCACTGCCTGCAAAATGACGCGCAAAAATCTTTCAGCAATCCATCTCTGACTAGCTATCATAAACAACCTTGAAGGGATTTTACCCCTTTTGAAAAAAGGCGAGGACGTTTAGAGCATATGTTATTTGTCTCAAGAGTTTCCGATAAAATCGAAAGCTGTAGCAAAATCATTCAGGCCGACAATTTTAGTTGCCGGAAACGCATTTGGGTACGTCGTCGGAGCCGTCTGGCCGACAGTCCGTCCACACTGGACGACTGTTGGTTTTGGCTGTCGACGATTTTTCGAATTCCTACAGAATTTAAACACACTGATTTGACCGTAGAAGACAGTCACTGGAGCGGTCGGGACACAGTTTTTTTGCCGAAAACCATCAAAAGTAGTGAGTTCCCCACACCAAGCGCCTTATCCTTCAAACCCCAAAGCAGAAGCGAAGTAGCTCCGTGATACTTAGGGCGAAGAAGGCCAACTCAGAGCCTCATGTCCTGCTAGTAATCTTTTCCGTGGCCTTTGACCATGCCGGTTGTTCAATGACGCATTTGCTTAAAGGAGCAGTTTTCGATGTTCTATACATCACCTACTGAGGTTCTGACCACTTAACCCTCTTCGTGGTCGTAAGTGCTGTGGGCCAAACTGACAACTAACGCCCCATAGCAACTTCCTTCCCTCTTTAACAGGTGTCTTCCAGGGATCGCATTTCTGTAGCAAGATCAAGTCACTACAGATACTCTGGCCAGTGCAATGGCAATCACCGCAACATCGACGATCTCCTATTGGAAGCCTTCTTAGTCGTACTGTCCTGGGCATTTTCACTGAGCGCAGGCTTGGTCAAACCTCCGTGAAATCGTGGCCCGAAATATGCTGGTTACTTGCACTTGCTTGTATCTGATTCGGCTGTGATCATGCCTAATCTAGCCGGCCTTGATGATGTCCCGTGTTATACCTCCCATGCGCGACGATTTGCGGCCGTGGCTCTGAACAGCTTGATCCGTTCTCTTCTCCAGCGACGGCTACCAAGGGTCTAAGAACCACCTCCATTTCTTTAAGAACCGTTTCGAGCAAGATCTTGATTTGACCTCATCGACGCCGCTAGGTGGTCAGCTGCACCCGATCGAGGGCAGTATTACTGAGCTCGTGGGGCGGACGACGAGAATCCAAAACGTCAGGCTAATAAACTTCCTGCATTAACGATCACATCTTCTTCTTCTTCTGAACTGCTTCCTGGGGCTGGCCTGCTCACTTCTATCGGTAGGGAGGTTGCTGTGGACGAGAATTCGCGCAGTGGTGGAGCGACAATAAGTTTTGAGCATGATTAGGATTCTGTCCGATACACCATCCAGTCCGACTATTTATAGGGTCCTTTCGCTACCCGTGCCAGCCCTAAGGATCTACTGCTAGGATAAGTTGAGAATATTAGTAATTTTGACGATGACGACCCATTGAGAAACAGCTCGCAAGCGTTATAGTACGCTGGTGAATAGCACCTGCTGTAGTCTGGGATTTATTCCCAACGAAAGCGACAATGCGGTTGACAAGCTGGTAGCAGCTATCCGACATACAATTGGTCATAATCTTTTAATCCGTTGCGTACATCCCAATCCCCAGATATACTTGAATCGCTTCGCAAATTATCGCGTAATCCTTTCCACTGGCACTTTCATTCGTACAAAAAGCTAGAACATAGACAACCATGATGGTGACATTTGTAAATGCGCCTTCTAGACAGGTGCGCGCTACGCCAGATGGGACCTGTGAGACAAACGTTCAGAATTCATAGCAATGTCATCGCGGCGCTCACCTGAAGAATCTTTCAGACACGCAGTTGCATAAAACATGGTAGACGTCTTTCGCATTGCCCACATACTTAGGTCTGACTTACTCTTCACGGGGAAATGAGATCAGCACCATATTCTGACTGCACGACTACACTCAGCAAATGTTCGCGTACGTCTCGCTCGTTAATTTCATTAAGCAGTGTCAATTTCTACTGGATAGCACAGACATTTCGCACACTTGACATCCGCCCAACGGCCGTACGTAGCAGGGTCAGCAACACTTATTCACCAGACTGCCATTTAGTTTCGCGAGATCCGCCCATCAAGAGGGGTTAGTCCCACTCTGAATTCTATGCGTGAGCGCCGGTTGGTCAGTGCTTGAGTCAGCTGATACCCTGGTAACCAATGAAACACTCCTGAGGACGAAGACACATGAGTTAAACAAGAGGCGGGAACCACAGCAGAATAAGTCCGACGCTGTGACACAGACAGCCTTTCGGTGGCTCGAATATACGGACAAACAAGATGAACTTCACGGCCGCTCACTGGTGCGTTAAGTAAGTTACTTGCCCGTGCATGTGACGACGCCCATGACTGGATCGGCCGACTTCGTAACAGTCCGTCAGCCACGGACTGCCAAACGAAGTCGGGACAGTCGGTACGCCACCTCCACAAGTCTAGGGGGTCTGAGATGCGATCAATGCCAGCCCTCGCCACGTCTTAAACTGGCCACCCCGACGTTATTGGCCAGGGACGGGATTGAGCGAGGCATCACCATGACGCTCCGCCTCTAGACCGACGCAGCACGTCTGAGTCATCCCAATTGACGAATAAAAGGAGAACAACTAGTGCCAAGTCCCTGGCCAGCTATGAAGGTATTGCCTTAAGATGTGGCCAGTAACGGACGGGAAGGATGAAAAGCGGGCACCGTTCCCCGGCTACTTCCAGGCGGAGTAAGTCTTCTGAGCGTTTGGACCAGTTGGCCATGCCAGAGGCCTCGTATACGTTAAGGTCGGTTTTTAGGTGGTCCCACATCAATTCCAATGGTTCCGACACAATCTATGAACTACCACCAAGCCTCTTATAAAGATCGTGTTTGACAAAACAAAATGTGAGGAAAACGAAACCGACTCCTGATGAGGAGACAGATGCCAGCTACACCGATAAAACCGCGGTTCTCATGAGCACGTGTTTAGGGCCGCGGCTGGCAAAATCGACTTAACGAAACACCCCTTTCGCGGGAAAATCAGTGACTACCTCTGGAAGAAGCCCTGCCGAGTAATTGGACTCGGCTTTTTTATAAAGACGGTTCAAATAAACATATGACTTCGGGGCGGGACCGCGGTCCTGGAGACGACGCCAGCGTGCAAGAAAAATCAATGGACATGAGGGCGATCCAAAGATTGACTGGTCAGATTCTTTTGCCTCGCGACCGCCTAGTGAAGATGTTGAGCATGAAGCTGGTACTAGGTTACTAATGCAACTGATTAATTTTTAGTAGTCCTCTATCCAACCATCAGCTGTGGGCTACAAAAGAAAAGAAGTATTCTCGTTCCAACATGTACCATTAACAAGCCAAGCTTCCTAAACTCGTGTTCACAGCAAATATATCTGCCGCTTGGATCAGACTATGCACGCGTCCCCTGTTATAGTTGTTTTTCCACTATAGTAAAAACGGATGTTGTCAATTTACGTTCTCCATTGCCTCTGGTTTTTCACCACTTCTAGTCAACAACAACGGTGTTCCCCAACGACCAGGCACCTTGCCGACCACCGAAGGAGGCATAGACCTGGCTCAACTCGTATCCATTGCTACTTTTCGGTTGGAAGTGAAAACCGGTCAGTGCTGGCGTGAACAGCGTTGAGGGGGTATCTATGGAAATTTGTCGGACATCTATTTACTAACTCCTTTGACAGCGAAGGGCTGTAACGTGCACAGAGCTTTGTTGGCAACAATGCGGAGCTGGCAAATCTGGAGGTCGTCAGGACGAGTAAAATTTACAATTAAGGCGGCTAACTACGTTTCAGGACGGAAGCAATGCCATTAGCTTGGAATCAAAAAATCCCCTTGACGACAGTAAAATGCGAAGCCTGACCGAAAGTAGAGAGTAGGTATTCTTTTAAAGCTACCACACCACAATGCATCTTATACGCTTATACAGCATGTGTAACAATGAAAAGCTAAGGACAAATGAAAGTCAACCTTAGTCACTTCACTTCGTAACAGCGATCTGGACGAGAACAGTCCAACAGGGAAACAAGGAAGGCGAACGGTGAGAAATCGTTCACATAATCTGAAACTACCACGGATACAAAACAAATCTACAGTTTAAAAGACTGAGAGTCCTTCGGTCCGTTTGTCATTCAGGCGACAGCACAGCTTAGCGAGACATTGGGCAGCACGGGCCGGCGCTGGGGTGTAGAAATAAAGCAAAATATGAATGAAAAAGGTTCTGATCATAGAAATGCGTCCAAGTAGCAAGGTAAAGAGACGGGTAGAAGTGATGCTTTACAGATCTGGTTTCTGGGAAGAGTTTGTCTTTCCCTTGTCTTAGAGCGCCGATCTAGGACAATCACCGGCGTCCGCACAATGACAGGTCCCATCAGCAGAATCAAATGTCAGATAATAAACTGCACCCACGTTCGAGTCCCAGGCCTTAGCGAGTGGGGTTTGGGGTGTAGATGGCTGATGACGGCTGACAGTCGGGCAGTAGCCACCTCACTATCCTCCACACCTTCCGATATTTCTTCTACAAACTAAATGATGTACAGCGTACTGGGTAAGTTAAGTAGCTAAAGGTGGGAGGAACAGCTCAAAAACTGCCGAGCAAACCTATATGATCTCAAAACTGCTAAAACGGCACGTCCTTCTTAAAACTGTTTACAGGCGCTCCGCCAACAACCAAAAGGCGGCCGAAGGAATCTGTGACAGAGCATGGAAATCCCGAATTCGGCACACGCGATGCCACCTGCAAAATCCTTTGCAGAGGGTGTGTGACTGTACAAACAAACGGCACGTAGCAAACCAGTCGTCAACATAGAACTTTTGTGGGTCCCTAAAGACTGATTTAAAAGTTGACCGGAGAAATCAGCTCTAAAGGCCGAAAGTACATACAAGCTTGAACATCCAGAGAGAACTTAAGTCGTGCAAAGGACCACCTGCTCGACCTTCAAGACTGGCTCAGACATGTTAAGTAGATGCCGTTAGTTATAAGAACTATACAGTATCTTGTTTCGGTATTCACATTCGTGAAACGGCACAACAGAATCATACATGAGACCCTAATACCCTAAAACGTAAGGACATGTCCGCGAAAGCTCACGTACCTTGAAAGTAAACCTAAATCATGTTGTTCGAAGTGAGGCAGCATGAAACATTTCAAAAAGGAAAAATTACCGGATGCTTGCGACGAGATGTTGGACGCCAGTGACTGACATCATCAGCATGAGGAAGGCCAAGGGAAGGAGAGAGAATGAGCCCTTGGTGCGATTCATGGGAGCTGTGGATAAAGCAAACAGAGGTCATTCTACCTCTGACGGGACGGAATAGGCGCAGCTGGCAGAAATCTAACTAATACAAAGATCCCCACTGACATTATCAGTGTGCATGACTAGAGGACGGGACACAACCGATCTTGGATTTCAACTAGACGTGGGGTGGAGCACCAAATGCTCGCACTACAACGCGCTTTTGAACTTCGTCACGTCTACCATCCATCGACAGCCATCTACCTTGATCACTTCGCAGCAGCGTTAGATTCCCCTCATTGAGTCTCCGGTGCAAATGACGGAACTAAGCGATAAACCCGAGCCCTGACCCATAGGAATCTCTCGAAACCGTCCGAGACTAAGTCTAGCGTTCGACAAGGTTGCAAATGATCGCTAGTATAATTTGAATACGTCACTAACTTGACTCTCACAGCGAACCTACCATGATCCATTAACATGCAGACGCCTCTTGCCTGACCTCAACCATGCTGACAATAGTCTTCATAGCATCAGACTACCACGATCTACAGAATGTACTTTCGAGGGTAAATGCGATGGCTAAATATTTTGACCCATCCAAGAGCACTGGGCATACCAGCGTTTGTGGGATGCATTCCGGATGGTATCACCAAAGATTAACGGGTCTCGGAGACAAGATGCCTTCAGACGGACGGAATAAGGAAGACGATGCCCTTTGGATTGATGCTGCTCACCGAGTTCCGGAAAGTCTTAGAAAGTGTCTGTGAACGAGTCGCAATATCCATGTCGTCAAAAAGATCCATCGGTACAGGACATTCATTAGCCCAGCTCACAGGTACGCTTTTGAATGCTCAGCTGTGCACCCTGAAGGCAGATACAAATCGGGGATTGTAAAGTACCTTTACCTGATGATCATACTTCGAGTGATGTACATAAATTTTCTTTCGAGTGAAACAGCCCGCACTCGCTGAGACGTCACTAGGATGTCTTCAGACATCACATAAAAACGATTGAGGTCTCCCACTGCACGCTCCATAAGTTAAGTGTCGTTTTCTTTAACCCAGGCGGTGAATAAAGCGTTCCCATTGAGCCTGGTTCAACGCGGTCCATTCAAGCAGTAGGTGTTTCCTGAACTTTCGGTATCACGTCCCTCTGTTGACAAAGTAGCTGCGGTTATGCAGATCCGCCGGCGCAGATCACGTATGCAGATGCAGTCCGCAACGCCCTCTAGGTCAAGTTATCGCCAATATTCTGTATTGAACTGATGTCGGCTAGATCGGGCACGACCATAGCCATCCCAGATAAAATACCCTTGCTAAAACGAACAAAATGGAAATTTCTACGGTCCTGTTAAACTTCTAATAGCTCAGCTGTAAACTACCGACCACCTGCTATTGCCACGCTGCGATGCGGGGCAGGAGTCAAGGCACTAAGGATAAACACGTAAGGCAGCTATATTCAAAAAAGGACAAAACGGAACTGTTTGGAAGACAACTTACTCCCACTTGTATACCCACGATAGTAGACAAATCTTCCTAATAGGTAAATGGAACCAGCAACTGCAGCGCCCACCTAAACGATGAGGTTTTAGCGCAGAAAACGCTTACGGGGCATCGAAGACCGCCAACAAACAGACCCATAAGGAAAAATGGCAAGGTTTCGAGACTACAATAAATCTAAGATGCAAACCAAACACTACTAGTTTTGGTGTGCCCGTTGAATGCAGTTAAATTCTTCGTTGGTTGGGTGATACATCAGTGGGGCCTGAAGGTGTCTGCATTGATTATTTGTGCGTACCTTTATGTCCCACTTCTTGCGACCTTGCACGACACGGATGGCGAAGAACATGTTCAAAGCAAAACTGCCAACTCCAACTAGAAGAACTCCTCCATAGTATCTGGGGAAACAGGCTGGAAGTTCATACAAAGGTGGCAGAAGCTTTGAGCAGTGAACCATGGCAAACTAGTATTCGTGAACCACTTCGTTCTTGCCGCCTTTTGGGTTATT